CCTACTGCATATGAAGGAGTGAGCTTAAACTGCTTTGGGAAGGAAGAATCATTGGGCCATAGCCAAGCGGCTGAAAGACAAAGGTAACGAAGGAAAGTTGAAAGCAGCAGGGGAAATACAGATTCCTCAATAGCATTAATAGCTGCCTTTCTACAGAAGCATAGAGCCCCAATGGGCAATTCTTCGCATAGTAGGCAGGAAGACAGAAAGATGAGGCATAAAGAATTCCATCCCAGGAAAAAATTATCCTGCAAAATTAGACAAGAAATACAGCGAAGGCCAGTGAAGAAGGGGGGGGGGGGGGGGAAGGGACCACAATCGCAATGCATTTGCTCTGAAAGAAGTACTAGAGTCCTTCATGTAGCACTGAAGGACAGGAGGAAGTAACTCGCTAATGGGGAGATGAAGCTGCACAGGCAAGTATGAACGCCGGTATTAGTGAATCTCTGTAAATCTTTTCTTCTTTTCTTTATGAGCCAATGTGATGAGCAGGAACCATTCAATGGCCTATGTATATAAATACAGAGGTTATATACTCTAATTGCACAAAGAAGATGAAGGAGATGGAGACACTTTGTAGCAATGTTGTAAGTCATTGATAATAATACTCGGAGTGACCCTTAGGGAAATAACTAAAACCAACTACGAAATTATTAAAATGTCACACTGTAAAGTATTTCTCACAAGAGGAGGAGAAAGTAGGAAAGATATAGAAAACGATATAAAATATATAGAAGACCTATAGCAAAGATGACAGATAGAAACATGATAATAAAGAGTTAATACACATGTACCAACCGTTCCTCAAAAGGCAGGAATCATCAGATGTATTAAAAATGGTCCAAAGAGAAAGGCGTGGGCATGGGGATTTAGTTCAGTGGTAGAGCACTTGCCTAGCAATTTTAGCTCAGTGGTAGAACACTTGCCTAACAAGCACAAGGTCCTGGGTTTAGTCCCCAACTCCAGTAAAAAAGATCCCTCACCTCTGCTTTTTTTTTTCTATAGTGGACAAAATTTACATTCAAAGAAATAATATATCAAAATTAGAAACAGAAAAATGCACCAGACAAATAGTAACCAAAAGCCGGTGAGAGTGACTCTACATACATTAAGATAAAGAAATTTTATAATAATGAAAAGGGCCAACCAAGAAGACACTGTAACTATAAACATATACATACCCAGACTGGAAAGAAGGAATAAAATTATCTCCATTTAAAGATGATATTATCTCATTCATAGAACTCTCATTCATAGAAAATCCCAAGGAATCGAATCAAATTTTCTCACAGTTAACAGATGAGTTATCAAGGTTGCAGAATACAAGATCAATATACAAGACTATTTTTTACTATGATACATTCGCAATAAGCCAATAGAAAATGCAGTTAAGAAAACAATTCGATTTACTGACATCAAAAGTAATAAAACATCAGAGGAAGTTCAACAAATCATGCAACATTCAGACACTGAACACTATCAAACTCGCAGAAACAAGTTAAAACTCCAGAGAGCTGGAAAGACATCCTGTGTTCATGAGCTGGAAGATGGCATTCATATGTAGAGTCATTGCAAATCCTTTCAAAATTACTGATGATTATTTTTCTTGCATGAATAGACTGAGCCTAAAAATTCAAAGGCCATCTAAGGGGTTCAGTGGAGGCAAGACAGGGCAATCCTGAAAACAAGTGGAATTTGAAGCTGATTATAAAGTTAAAACAATCAGGAAAGTATGGCCATGTTCTACATAAAGGTAAATACTTAGATCAACGGAATTGAACCGAGCATCCAGAAATAAACACTTCTCTAACCCAGTCAACTGATTTTGGACAGGAGTACCAAGACCAGTTGGTGAAAGAAAATAAAATCTCAAAATGTGATCCTGGGGTAACTGAATGTCTACTTGCAAAAGACTATAATTAGTCCACCCGCCCCATGTTATGTTCAAAAATAACCTCAAGATGGATTATAGAATTAAATGTAGGAGCTAAGACAGAAGTGGGCAATAGTTTTCTAAATATGACACCACAAGAAAAAACATTAAGAGAAAAAGGAATGTAAGTCTAACTTTATCAAGGTTATTAAGAAACTTTTATGCTTCAAAATGCCATCAAGAAAGCGAAAACACAAGACACAGGACAATGCAGTGTTTTCAAGTCATATATCTGATGAAAAACTTGAAGGCAGAGTATAAAATGTTTCTCAGAATTAAAGAATGAAAAGAAAACATTCAATAAAAAATGGGCTAAGGAGATGGTTTAGTTAGCAAAATGCTTACCACCCTAGGATGAATTCCTGAGTTTGATCTCCAGAACACACATGGAAATCAGTCATGGGGGCAGGCACTCAGTGTTTGGGGTGCTCAGACAGGTGGATCTCTGTAGCTCACTGGGAACCAAAATAGCCTAGTTGACAAGTTGAGGGCTGCTGAGGACCCTGTTCAAAAAACCAAGGTGGATGTTGCCTGAGTAACGATACTTGAGGTCAACATGTGAGCACATGAACTTACACACATGTGCAATCACCCCCACATACACGCACATACTAGGGAAAGCTTTGTATACTAGGATTTGAGTCGATCCCTTTCTCTGAAGAAAATGTGCAGATTCCCAATAAGTACTTAAAAAGATATCCAATATCAACTACAATGGCATTTCACTGTATCTGTTCACTAAGACGATAAAAATAGAAGAAGAGAGACAATAACGAGACTTGATGAGGAAAGAAATTGACACCACTCACGCACTGACAATGGGATTAAGAAATACTGCAGAAAGTATGTCAGTTTCTCACAATGTAAAACACGGATTTCTCATAGGATACGGTAATTTCACACTTAGGCGTGTAACGGGGAGAACTGAAAACTTGTGAACATGGTAACAGCTTCGAGAATCTTGTTAGCCATTTTATTCAAGCTGCCAAAGGTGGAAGTCACCTAAGAACCGATCAGCTGGTGATCACATGACCAAAGCATGATATATCCACACACTGGATCATATTGGGTCTTCAAAAGAAATGGAAGTGCTTGTATGGTATGTGTATGACACTTGAGCATTTTCCAGTTAGTGAGAGGAGTTGGACACTTCAGACGGATAGTAGACATCTCTATTTATATTAAATGTTGAGAACAGGCAAATCCATAGAGACAGAAAGTGGGTTGGCGGTTGCTGTGTAGCAGAGGAGAACTAGCAACTGCTCCTTGACTTACATTCTGGGATCACCAGCGCAGCATCAGGTTCTAAGTAGTTAATTTTTCTAAGACATAATAACTGGCTGGGTTCGAAATTTCCCGCCAGTACCCATTACCCACTTCCTTTAGATGGTTGGAAGACCTTGTCACTGGAATGAATTTCCCAGGTGCCCTTGCAGAGAGGTGTAGCCATTTGTCTTCACTGTCTAAAATTGCTGGCTCTCTACCTCCTCCTCCCATTTTGAGCAGGCTGAAGCACACGCATGCGGTGCTGAGCTGCCTTCGAATAGACTGTCAAGGCACCAGACAGACCATAGGCTGTGCTGCACCGCCAATTGGAGGGCAGAGCCTCCGAATCTCACTGATGACAAGGGAGAGCAAACTCTCCTTCATGCGCTAGCCATTGGCATTCAAATCTATAAAATAACATCTTGGGCATCATGGTCATTAAAGCTATACACGTTATTTTTTCCCTTCCTTTGGACCTGTTTCTCAGGTGGTTTTGAATGAACAGCCAAGGGCATTAGGGTCAATGAGCACAGTCCTCTCCTTGGGGGACTTGAAAGTACTGTGGTGAAGTTGGTCACACGCACAAATAGCAGACAATGCAGTAAAGAACAGGAGCCGAGATTTGCACGATGTGTGTGGAATGCAGGTATTTATTTGGGTTGACACAGAGGGCAGATGTCCAAGCCAGAAGCCTGCACTTGGACATCATGAAAGAGGTGACAGCTGAAGCCCTGGGCTATAATTAGTCATCATTAGAGTCCCCCACCAGTTCTCCATGCACACTTCAACTTTTTTCTATTTTTAAAATAATCATTTATTTGGTAAAATCAAGCCATTTAAAATTAGCGTTAATGCTAGTGTTTCTATAAATAAGGAAAGCATTGGGAACGATTTCATTTCTTCTGTGTGCATTTGTGCAGGCATGTGTGTGTTCATGTGCATGTGAGTACGCAGGTGTGCAGACGCATCTACAAGTATGTGTATATGGCCAGCTAGGGTTTTGTTCCTCAGAAGCTGTCCACCCTGCCTTTGTGAGGAAGCATCTCTCACTATGACCCAGAGATTACTGGTTATGCTGGACTCTCCCATCAGTGAGACTCAGAGGTATTCCCACCTCTGCCTCCCCAGTACCGAGACTATAACACCTATATCTGGCTTTTTCCAAGGGCAGTGAGGTTTCAACTTAGGCCCTTACATCTGCAAACACATTGCTCACCTAGCAACCTCTCTAATCCCTGATTTTACCATTTCTCATACCTGTTAGAAAACAACACAGCTCTTATCAGCACAAAACGACGTCATGGCACAGAATTGAACATAAGAACGTCTGAACTAAGATGAAAAAATTAGATCATCTTCATCTGCTGCAAATGATTTTTCTAGTTAGTTGGATGTTATGAATTTCCTCCAGGAATCTTTACTTAGATTATCTGAGTGCCAATTTGGCACAGTGATGTACTTACCAATCTCGTAGCAAATCAGTTATCTTCAAAAGCTTTGTTTTTTAATTTTAAGATGATGTCAGAGGCACACAAAATGGAAAATGCCCCTGAAATTATTGATACACTTCCTTCTCAATGTTAACCTTTTATGACGTCATGATGCTAAGAACGAAAATACAGTTAAGAACAGTAGTATTGATTAAGCTACAGTCTTGATTAGATTTCACCAACTTTCTCTTCTTCTCTTTTTTTTTGTCTTCTCCTCCTCCTTCTCCCTTTCTTACTTTTGCGATTTTCAGAGTTAAACCCCCATCTACATTTGCCTGTCATATTTAACTTTTACTATATTCCCTTTTCAGGGTTGGCAAACATGAAGACGGCTGGAATGAGAGCTGAGTGACCAGGTGGGTGCTGAATGAAACCCTGGGTTTGTCAAGGAGTTGATTGGAGGGAACTAACATGAAAGGACCCTGGAAATCATGAAGAACGGCATCCTATGAGGAAGATTATTTATTCAATCATTAGTCCTGGAAACATTGCTGAGCGTGGGCTGTACTGTTGACACCAAGTCAGGCACTGAAGGGTAACAAGCCTCCTTTCAACTCTGGCTTGCTGGCAGTCCCAGCCTTATAAGTCTCATCAGTGACCCCTGACATGAGGCTATAATACCAGCTATTGCCTTCCATTGGAACTCCTCAATGAGGATCTCACCACAGGCTTGAAAGAGTTAACGTCCCGAGAATGATTTCCCTCCCTCCCCCTCCAGGCCTGGGAACCCTGTACCAGCTCTGTCCAATCTGGCATGCATTAGGCTCCCAGTATGTATTTTCTTCCCCCCGCCCCCCCCCCCGCCTCTGTTTATATCTCTGTTTTTTTTGTAAAGTCTCCTAAACTGTAGCCATGTCTTCCAAGATCTTTGACAGTGTTATAAATTTCATTAAGAAGATAGAGCCTTACGGGGCAATTAACTCCAAAAGTGGCACAAAGCAAGAGCCAGGAGATACTGGCGGTCGGTACTTAGCGCTGAGCTCTGAAACTGAGATAAGCCCTATCCACCCTGGGTTGTGTTTAATGTTCACTGCCGCTTCCACACCACTGCTACAACCTCGCGGTCACCGTGTTAACACTCCCCAGTATCTATTACAATTAGTTTTTGATTAAGAGGCCTAACATGGCTTTTGAAGCTTTTTACGTTGTGTCAAATGGCCGGTGATGGAGTGAGCTGGGCAGACACCTCCCTGAAACAAAGCGTATTGTAAAAGGCTTCAAGCGAGCACTATTTTATCATCCTAATGGAAACCAGATGACTCCGGACTCTCCCCTTAATTTCAACTATTTACTGAAGAGTCCTTGTTTTGAATTACTGAAAGATTTATTCTGAAATGACGACCTCATGCATTAAGAATCACTAATAACCGGCACTGGAAATTTGGGAAAGCTTTTAAAGATAGCCCAAGAGGCTTTCACAGAGGGTTGATCCTCGTTTATTCTCTCCTAAGGTTTTTTTTTTTTTTTTTAAGAGAGCACATGCCTTTGCCCTTTTCTGGCATTTAAGTATTATTCTAATTATTGTTTATGAGGGTTTTCTTTGTTAACGCTGCTTTTCCTGCTAGGGTTTCAGTTGATTATCTTGGTCTTTTACCTAAGAGAAAGGTCATGAGTGCTTGGTGAAGAAAGAGAAACTTTGTTTAGTTATGTAAGATATAATCCCCTGTGAACCGGAGTTACATGCAAGCTTTGTAAAGGTTTAGATGTTACACAGGAAAAAAAAATTGTCAAAATAAATTATGCGGTGGGGGAGAAGGCTCAGGGCATAGGACGTTTGCCATGCCAACATGAAGACCTGCGCTTGATCCCCTAAAATCCCTGAGTGTAAAAGATGGGTGCTATGGTGTGAGGCTGTAATCAAATCAGTGGCAAGAGAAAGACTAGATTCCTGGGGTTTGCTGGCCCGTCTAGCTTTAGCTAAACTGGTATGTTCTACATTGAATGAGAGCCCCGCCTCTCTCATTAGCTAGAAAGTGACTGGGGAGGACACATGATTTCAACATCTGGTTTCTACCCACATTGCATGCACACACATGAACACATACGAAACATATCTGTAAGGAGAATGAAGATGCTTTGTAAAGGGGGTATAACTAGCTCGCGAAGTTGATGAAAGGGAGCCACTTAAAATTCCTGAAAAATCATTTCAATGGTAAACAGTTGTGCACGTTTAGGCGTTACAGTGTAGTGCTCCAGTCTATCTGTGGAATGTATAGTCACTACCTCACTGTGCATCAACCTCCTGGGCACTTGCCATTTCTCTGTATAGGAATATTCAAAGTTTCTCTTTTAGCTACTCTGAAATACACACTTAATTGCTGTTCTCACAGTACCACAACTTGAGTGCTCACGGGCACTCTAGAGCCCCTGCGTTAAAGGTTTTGCACCAGGGTGGTGCTGTGTTAGGAGGTAGGGGTGAATGTGTGGTATGTTTGGGTCTTTAAGGGGGCATGCCGCTGAAGATGGGGATGAAGGTGTGGTATGTTTGGGTCTTTAGGGGGACATGCTGCTGAAGGGTCTATGCCATTCCGTTCCTATTAGCCCTCTAGCCATGAGGTTTGTTCTGCCATGCTATTTACCAAGGCCATCTGGCCTCCACACTGGAATCCTTAAAACAGTGGTTCTGTTAACAGAACACCTGAAAATTCTAGAACAAAAAGAAGCAACCTCACCCAGAAGGATTAGACGGCAGGAAATAATCAAATTGAGAGCTGAAATCAACAAAATAGAAACAAAGAAAACAATAAAAACAATCAATGAGACAAAGAGTTGGTTCTTCAATTAAATCAACAAAATAGATAAATCTTTATGCAAACTAAAAGGCAGAGAGAGAATATCCAAATTAACAAAATCAGAAATGAAAAGGGGGACATAACAACAGACATGAAGGAAATCCAGAGAATTATCAGGTCATACTTCGAAAACCTGTACTCCACAAAACTGGAAAACTTAAAGGAAATGGAAAATTTTCTGGATAAATATCACTTACCAAAATTAAATAGAACTTTAAATGCTGAAGAAATAGAAACAGTCATCAAAAGTCTCCCAAACAAAAAAGCCCAGAACCAGATGTTTCAGCACAGAATTTTACAAGATTATCAAAAAAGAGCTAATACCAATACTCCTCAAATTGTTCCACACAATAGAAACAGAAGGAACAATTTCAACTTTTTTTATGAGGCTACAGTTACCCTGATATCCAAACCACACAAAGACATTACCAAGAAAGAGAATTACAAACCAATTTACCTCATGTATATTGATGCAAAAATACTCAATAAAATACTGGCAAACAATTCAAGAACACATCAGAAAAATCATCCCCCATGAGCAAGTAGTATTCATCCCAGAGATGTAGGGATTGTTCAGCTAATGAGATCTCTCAGTGTAATCCACCATATAAACAAACTGAAAAATAAAAACCACATGATCATCTCATTAGATGCTGAAAAAAACATCTAATATCAATATCCCTTCCCGATAAAAGTCTTGGAGACAATAGGGATACAAGAAACATATCTAAACATAATAAAGGCAAAATACAGCAAGCCAACAGCCAACATCAAACTAAAGGAAGAGAAACTCAAGGCAATCCCACTGAAATCAGGAACAAGACAAAGTTGTCCACTCTCTCCATATCTATTCAGTATAGTATTTGAGGTTCTAGCTAGAGCAGTAAGACAACCAAAGGATATCAAGGGGACAAATTGGAAGAGAAGTCAAACGCTCACTATTTGCTGATGATATAATAGTTTACATAAGTGACCCCAAAAATTCTACCAAGGAACTTCTACAACTCATAAACACCTTCAGTAATGTAGCAGGATACAAGATTAACTAAAAAATTCAGTAGCCCTCCTTTATACAGATGATAAATGGGCTAAGAAAGATATCAGAGAAATATCACCCTTCACAATAGCCATAAACAATATAAGATATCATAGGGTGACTCTAATCAAACAAGTGGAAGACCTGTATGAGAAGAAGTTTAAATATTTGAAGAAGGAAATTGAAGAAGACACCAGAAAATGGAAAGATCTCCCATGCTCTTAGGTAGGCAGAATTAGCATAGCAAAAAAATGTCAATCTTATCAAAAGCAACATACAGATTCTATGCAACCACCCAAATCAAAGAAAAATTTTCCATAGACCTTGAAAGAACAATACGCAACTTCATACAGAAAAGCAAAAACCCAGGATAGCCAAAACAATCCTGTACAATAAAGAAACTTCTGGAGGCATCACAATCCCTGACTAAAAAGTTTACTACAGAGCTACAGTACTGAAAGCAGCCTGGGATTGGCATAAAAACAGACAGGGGACCAATGGAACCAAATTGAAGACCTGAATATCAATTCATATACCTATGAACACCTGATTTTTGACAAAGAAGCAAAAAAATGGAAAATGGAAAAAAGCATATTCAACAAATGGAGCTGGCATGACTGGCTATCAACATGAAGAAGAATGAAAATAGATCCATATCTGTGGCCATGCACAAAACTCAAGTCCAAATGGAGCGAAGTCCTCAACATAGAAGCAACCAGTGTCTCCTTATTCTACTGCACATTATCCTCTGCAGCTCCACCCATGCTGACACAGACAGCAGCATCTTATGCTTTTTAGTGCCTGAATAGTGCTCATGCATGCGCGCGTGTGTGTATCTGTGTGATATATATTTGACATATATGAATATATATGTGACATATACACACACATATCACACTTTATCCATCTGTTAATGAACAGTCCCATCAATTCCTTATCTTTTTTTTTTTTTTTTTTGGTTTTTCGAGACAGGCATTTCTCTGTAGCTTTGGAGCCTATCCTGGAACTCCCTTTGTAGACCAGGCTGGCCTTGAACTCACAGAGATCCACCTGCCTCTGCCTCTTGAGTGCTGGGATTGGGTATTTCTACCGCCTGCCATTTTCTCACACCCCCTTTTCCGCTCTCTTTCTCTGACTTTGACCATGTCGTTCTCCTCGAACCCCAGTATATCCACACCTATGGTCTAGGGATTGGGCTGAAATCAAAGCCACTGATTCTGTGATGTCACAGATGCTGGAGGCCTTTTGCGCCAGGACGGTGGGTCTTGTCATAGGAAGGCAGTATGGAATTCTGCATAAGAGTCCTAGCTCTTCCCACGATGAACTGTGCATCCTTTGCATGATAGCCAACTCAGCGAGACCAGATTTCCTTGCATGGAAAGGAGGGACAATGTGAGCTACTTCCTAGGCTGACAGTAAATCCCCAGTAAAATAAATAAAATTAGTTCTTTAAAGAGCAGAGCAAATGATAGCCTGGTGGTGGTCCTCTTTTCTTCCTTTCCTGTCCTGGCTTGTTTTTGGTTTGTTGAGACAGGGTCTCAGTATGTAGTCCTGGCTTGCCTGGAACTCCCTTTGTAGACCAGGCTGATATCAAACTCAGAAAGATCTTCCTGCTTCTGCCTCCTGAGTGCTGGGACTAAAGGTGTGCGCCACCCCTGCTCTCCTGTTCTGTTGCATGTGTCCAATACAATCTGAGTGAATGAGGTCGCCATGATGTTTGCCATACCGTTGTCACAAACATGCAGTGAATGTTGGCTCTGCAGTGTGCAATGTCAGAGTTTTGGAAACCCTGAGACTGGAGGCAGAGCCCTGT